TTGGCCGTTGGAGCACCTGTTGAAAGCTTGCCACAAATTGGCATCGGCACCCGTCTTGGACGGTCGGCACCGCGGATCATCCGCTCGCTTCTCAGCAAACGACGCGTACCATCCGACAGCTGTCTTACCCGCCTGGGCGCGCATGCAAGTCGCCGCGACCGACCGTCGCAGGTTCCACGACCAAGGTCCTCGGCGCTAACGCTCGCGGGCCCAAGAGAAAGCTGAATGCGACGGGGCGCCAGTGGAACGACCAGAAGAAGACGGCAGCAAGGCTGGAGACTGCTGCGGAGCGCAAGTCTGCATGGGCGGGGCCTCCGTCGGCGTGGCCTTCGTCGGCGAAGCCTTCATGGGCGCGGCGAGCGCAGCGGAGAGGACCTCTGCGTCAGCAGCCGCGCCGCCGGTCTCGCGGACTCGCCGAACCATCGCCAGCAGGCCGCCGTCGTCGTCTATTAGAGCCTCCCCGGGGCCCGACGCAGGCCTCCGCAGGTGCGCGACCAGGCACTGCCTTTTGCCGCCGTCGTTCATCTCGGAGTACTTCGCGTAGAGCGCATCGGGCCACCAACTGTTGCGCTGGCGGCGGTGCGCGTTCGCAGCGGACTGCACCACCCCGTTGGCGCATCTGCGCGAGGTCTCCACGCTGACCTCGCCGCCCATCTGAACTGTTGTAGTCTTCATCGGGGCGATTTCTGGGGGCATGGCTGCCGCGCGCAGGTAGGGCGCAACTCTGAAGTAGAGCGCATGTGCGCGGAGCTGGCTTGAGCCAAGGTGTTTGCAATTTTGGATAGGACACGAATTCTCGCTCGCGCACCCCCCACCCCCACCCCGCGCGCAGCTCTCAAAGATCATGGAAGGGCCGCGGCAATCCCGCCATGGGAGCACGAACCGAATACCTGGGAAGAGGTCGAGGGCTGCTGGGGCGATGGAGGGATGTTGGAAAGAGCCACGCGTGCCACGCTGTGTCACATACAGGACACTTCGACAGATAGCCAGAAAAGTTGCCTAGAGCGCCCAATTCGAGTGCCCCGCGAGCCTGCAACACATGGCGCCCCCCACCACTAGCGCACCACTTGTGGCGTCCAGGAAATGCCACGCCTGCCATGCCCTGCGAGCCTGCAACGCATAGCGCCCCCAGCCCCAGCGCACCCTCTGTGGCGTCAAAAAACTGCCACGCCTGCCACGCCCTGCGGACTGCAGCGCATAGCGCCCCCACAACCAGCGCACCACTTGTGGCGTCGATGAAATGCCACGCCCGTCACGCCCTGGGAGCCTGCAGCGCATAGCGCTCCACCCCCTAGCGCACCCCCATGTGGCGTCGAGGAAATGCCACGCCTGCCACGCCCTGCGAGCCTGCAACGCATAGCGCCCCCACCCCCAGCGCACTCCCTGTGGCGTCGAAGAAATAACCTCCTCAAGCGGTGAAGACGTCCTGCCACATGTGATGGCCTTCCTCCTTGTCCTCCTCCGCCTCCTGCTGAATCCGCGGCCTTGGCAACAAACACATGTTTAGGCCTGGTGTCCACACGCGCCAGGCGTATCGGCTGGAGGCCCCCACAAGCGCACCAGCAAAGGTGCGCCCACCCGGAGGCTTTCCTCCACGCTCAGACGGGGGGGGGGCGACAGCCCGCCCGGATGCGGACCAGCGGCGCACATTCCCCCCGCTCCCAGGGGGTGGGTAGGCGGCTGGCGTTCAGGAGCCCCGGCCCCCTGGGGACGGGGAGAAAGCCGAGCTGCTGCCAGAAGGAACGCCAAATCCGCCGACCGTTCGGCGTGTGTGAGACGCTGTCGTCGTATTCGTCATCGTTTTCGTCGTCTTCGCTGTTGTCAGTCCCAAGGAAATTGAGGAACGAGCCAAGAAAAGAAACGTCCTAGTTGAATCGATTCCCTTCCATTTCCCTTCCCTGACGGGGGGGGGGAAGTCGGGGGCGCGCAAACATGGATTAGCGATTCATGGATTTGGCGCGCGGTCGCCAAATCCATGGATCGGGAGAGGTGCCCCCCCCCAGCATGCGGCCAATGCCGCCCCGCTCGGCGGCGGGAATCCGCGATTTCCCTCGGAAGCCGGGACCCGTCGTTAATCCACGCCCCCTTTATCCATGTTCGCGATCGCCTGGATCCTCCTCACTGTCCTCTTCCTCCTCGCCCCCTCCTCGGCCCCGGCGCCGCCGCAGCGCGGCGTTTCGCGCGGGTCGCCGCGGCCGAGCCTCGAGGGGCGTCTTGGACGCACGCGCGCGCGCGCGCGGGGCTCGCCCTGGCGCTCGCTCGGCGCGGAGGAAGGAGGGGGGGAAGGCAGGAGGTCGGGGGTGTGAGGAGACGGATGGAAGAGAAGGAGGAGGAGGAAAAGGAAGAGGAGGCGGGAAGGCTGGAGGCGGGGGGGATGAGGAGACGCATGGAGGAGGAGACGGGAAGAGGAGGAGGAGGAGGAGGAGGAAGAGGTAGGGGGAAGGCGGGATGAAGGGTGAGGGGGAGGTGGGAGCAGGCCGAGAGGGAAGGGGGATGGGCATAGCGTCGATGCAGCAGCCCAGGGCGAGGTGCAAGGCAGGGTTTGGAGCAAGCTATCCCGACAGCTCCACCGCGGCAGCGCAGAGATGGTGCTGAGCAACCTAGGCCAGTGAGGCCCACAGCTCCCACACCACGACCACCACCACCACTACCACCACGGCACCATCAAGATCGACAGCCACCGACGCGGCAGCGACCCCAACAGCAGCGGCGCGCAAGGCCCCGTCGACGGCGACGTGCCCGCCAACCCTAGCGGCATGGCGATACGTCTCCTTGACGATCGCGACTGTGGCGCCACCGACCACCGCGGACACCACGACCAGAACGGCCCCCGACGACGATGACCGCCCCCCGTCCCCCCCCTTTCCCTTCCCTCCTGCCCGTTCCCTTCTTTTTCCCTTCCCTCCCTTCCCCCTCCTCCCCCGTCCTCGTCCTCCTCCCCCTCCCCCGTCCCCCCCTTTCCCTTCCCTCGTCGTCCTTTTTTCTTTTTCCTCGTCCTCCTCCCCGGTCCCCCCCCTTTCCCTTCCCTCCTGCCCTTTCCCTTCTTCTTCGCGGGGGCGCCCCCCCCTGCCCGCCAGCTGCGTTCTTCGTGTGCCTGCCCCCCCCTCTGCCTCCCCGCCCCCCCTCCCCGCCCTACCCGCCTGGGGGCGCGAAGGTCCTTACGCCGCGCGACCCCCCCGAGGTCTGGGTCAGGGGCACCTCGCCCGCATGCTCGTGGAGGCGATGACGCTTTCACACAGGGGACCATCGGCCGCGATGCGCCCAGCCCAGGGGGGCACGCACCTCAAAGTTAGGCAGTTAGGCGCGTGCTGGGGGACGAGGAGGAAGAGGAGGTAGGGGGAAGGCGGGATGAAGGGGGAGAGGAGATGGAAGCAGACTGAGAAGGAGGGGTGCGGACGAGGAGGGGGAGGGGGAGGACGAGAAGGAGGAGGAGGAGGAGCAGGAAGAGGAGGAGGAGGAGGAGGAGGAGGAGGAGGAGGAGGAGGAGGAGGAGGAGGATGGGGTGGAGGAGTGAAAAACGGAAGGGGGGCGGACGACTAGGAGGGGGGGGGAGCACAGGGTGGGAGCAAGAGACAGAACAGGAGGGAGGTGGGAGCACGGGGAGGGATAGAGGGCTGGATGATGAGCAGAAAGAGGAGGGAGGGGGGCAGGATGAGGACGGAGCAGGAAAACGAGGAGAGCTGGTAGCAAATAGAGAATCACGGGCGTCGCGTCGCGTCGGACTGCCGAGCTGGAGGAAGGCCGAGGAAGATGGGCACGAACGAGGCGGAGGACAGGAGGAGGGTGATGTAGATGGGAGGCGGAAGGAATATCTCGATAGCTGGTGCAGGAGGGAGTGTGGGATAGATGGGAGCAGGAGGGGAGGATCGGAGATCCGCATGGAGGATGAGGAGAAAGAACATCAGGATAACGAGTGAAACAAGTGGATGGCAGCAGAAAGAGAGAGAGAGAGAGAGAGGTAAACAAAATAGAGAGAGAGAGAGAGAGAGAGCGAGACATACACAATACACATCCGTATTTATGTATGTACGTATATGTAGGTACAGCGAGACTGAGGGAGCACAGCAAATGGAGAGAGAGAGAGAGAGAGAGGCACAGCGTTGGGCTGAGGAGGAAGCGGGAGGCAGGATGTGCAGGTATGACGGCGGAGGAAGACGGAGAGGGTCGGGCTCGAAGGAGGAATCAGACAGGAGGGGCGACGTGGAGGACCCTCCTCCTCCTCGTCCTCCCCCCCTTTCCCTCCCTCTTACTCGTTCCTATCGTGTTTCTCCTTCAGTTCCTTGTCCCCCGTGAGGGAGGAAGAGGATTGAAATAATCGGGCGGGCTCAGGGTAGCGCCGACCCCGACCCCGGTGATAATGCGGATACAAAACTACTGTGCATCATCTGGCGACGAAGCGAAGGGGGAGAGGGGCAGGGGTGTGTTGCGAGGGAGGGGAGGGGAGAGCTGGAGGGCTGATGAAGGAAAGTAGGAAGCTTAGGCAATATGGTGATGGCAGTGCTAAGGGAGATGGTGATGGTGATGAAAGTGGTGATGGTGATGCTGTGGTTCGGATGATGGTGGTGATGATAGCGCTGATGATGTTGATTACGTGGCTTGTTTCTGATGGTGGTGGGGATCGACCCCAGGACCTGTCCTGGGGTGCGTTGCTGGAGGACCCCCGTGGTGGCGACGAACACCCCCTCGCAGGTGCAAGATATCCCAAGAGGCGAGAGGCCTCAAAGACGGCCTCCGAGAGGCCACCGGCAGGCCCGGAGACCTCCCCCCCCCGCATCCATTCCTTGAAAAAGGTTAGCGGCGAAAGGGGACGCCGACGCGTTCGAGTAGCCGACGGGCCGGCCTAGCCAGACCATGGGCACACGGAGGCAGCTGGAACCGAAGAGGGCGGCCGCAGAGGAGAACAGGGAGGGGGCCCCCGACGCCGCCAGGAGCGCGCAGGCGGCCTCAGACCAACAAGCGAGCGTGGGGGGGGCGGGGACGACCGCCGAAGGCCGGGCGGCTCAGTGGTAGGGGCTGGGCCAGACCACCGTGACGCTGCCCTTGTTGGTCGGGAACTCCTTGGCTTTGTCCTCCAGCCCGGTACCCTCGTCGTCGGCGTTCGCAGATCGTCGCCGCCGCTCGCCGCCCGCCGCTCGCCGCTCCCGTCGTCGTCGTCGTCGTCGTCGTCGTCGTCGTCGTCGTCGTCGAGGTCGGTCGTCGCTTTCTTCTGCTGGGCATTCCCTCCGCTCCCGCTCCACGCCCGCTCCCTCCCCCCCCCCTCATGTCTCGTGCCGGCTCTCTTTATATATCTCTGTGTCGTTGCGTCTCTCTTTCTCTCCATCTCTCTCCTTTTTTTTTTCTCCCTATTCTCGATCGCGACAAACACCCCTACCGTTACCTAGGCAGGGTGTCAAGGAACGGGGGGACCACACGTCGCAGACGAAATCGGCTGCACAAGTGCAGAAGCGCCGACTGCACGGGTGCTCGACTCGGCGAATGGCCCACCCTGCGTTGATCGTTGTTGACCTAAACCAACTTTCGGAAGTGCGCCTACGATTGCACAAATTCAAGCGTTGGGGGGTCGACGCGTTCGGGGGCGAATGCGAACAAACAAATCTGGCACAAGTGTCAGCGCGGGACAATCAGGACATCGTCGTTGCTCGATGCAAAAGCAAAGCGGCTCCGAACCGCGGCCACCAAAAGCGTCCCCCTCTGGAAAACCCGCCTGGGAACACCCCAGCTAGGTCTGGGTATGTGCTGGGGGGTACCGCGTCGACGCCGCGTCCGAGAACATATCCACACCTAGGCGAGGTGGCGTTTAGCCGGAATCGCCCTTGGGCGTATGTTCTGCCCCATGGGACCCTCCCCCACGCGGCCGCTGCGGCCCCCCTGGGAACGCGAGATTCCAACGTCGTTCCTGCGGGCAAGATATGACTACCTACCAAACCGCCCCAACCCAACCCGAAGACCCGAATTTGATCCGAATTTTGGGTTGGAAGGGGAATGGGTTCCATGTGTTTTTTCTGTGTTCCCCGACCCTCCCCAATGGAAATGGAGGGCAAATCGATAATTCCGGGGTGGGTTGGGGTCGTTTGATGGGTGCTGAAGATCAGACGCTAGTGGTCGCCAGGAGAACGAAGGCATCTTTTCTCGAACGGGGTAGGCGCCTCCAGTCCGCGGACCCCAGCCGCGCTCGCACCCCCGGTGCGGCGCCCAGGCGCCCCCAACAAGAATCAGCGCGTTGCTGCAGCCAAACAACCGGCCATTTAACGCGTCGATGCACCCTGACGCCCGGGTGCTGCGCCACCGCGCGCACGGCAAGCTGACTGGGAACACAAACGCCCAATCCCCCTTTTTCACCCTGGCTGGCCCCTGGTAAAGGTGTGTTTGGGACCAATGCTATATCACTGTCTCTGTCTATTGTTGTGTTTGTTGTTATCTCTTTATCTCTCCCTCTCTCTCTTTCAACGGTTTGTGTTGTTCGTTCTCTCTCTCTCTCTCTCTATCTCTCTCTCTCTCTCTCTCTCTCTTTCTCTCTCTTGCTTCATAATGTTTCTTTCTCCCTGTCCCCCTCTCTCTCCATCCCAGTGAGGATGAAACATGCGTCAACAAACACAGGAGAAACGAAGGAGGGGAGCGAAGGAAAGTTACCCGCAACCGCCGCCTGGCCCGCGGCCTGGCCCTCGGCCTGGCCGCCCGCCTGGCCCGCGGCCTGGCCCTCGGCCCAGGCTCCCGCCTGGCCCGCGGCCTGGGCGCCCCGCGTCGCCCTGGCCCGCGCGGCGCTACGGGGCCACTGGGCGGGCACCGCGTCCAGCAGGGCCCGGGCCACGCCCGTGGCCAGCCGGACGCTGATCAGCGTGCGCCAGCGAGCGCCCCAGCGCGTGAGCAGGACGCCGCGGCCCCGCCGGCGCTGCGCCGCCAGTACAACAAGCTCGTCCAGCAAAGCGGAGAGCCTGCCGCCAACGCGACCCCAGGCTTCGACGGAGCACGGAACGACAGCCTTGCCGCCCGTGTCAGGGTACCGCGCTCCTCCGTGCACCGGACGCCCTCCGCAACGGCTGCGCCCACCGTCGCGGCAGCAGCCGACAGGATGTGCGCGGCCACGGGGTGGCGCACCGTGCCGTCGAGGCAGCCGGGGCCGTCGGGTGCCTGAACAGCTCCACGTCCAGGACCTCCTCCAGGACCTCGTTGCCGTCCCGCCGGCGTTTCTTTCACTCTCACTCTCATTACCTAACAGCTTTTGCTGATAGGTTTCTAGTGGTCTCAAAAGAGAGCATCATGACTCCACAGGGAGGTCGGGGCGGGACCCGGACAGGCTGCCGCCGCGGCTGCCGCCGAAGCCCCAATCGCTTGGGACATCCTCGCAAAATCGCTCTTGGCGCTGCTAGAACTCCATTCCTGGCGTACATTTTGGATGCCCAGAGCCAACTGTCGGCCACTTCGTGGTCTTCGAGTTCCCAGAACTCCATTCCCGGCGTACATTTTGGGCTGTCCTGGGGCCCTCTTGGAAGCTTTTTGGGCCGTCTTGGGGCGGTCTTGGGCGCCTCTTGGGCCGTCCTGTAACGTCGGAAAGCCCAAAAGACAACTTTGTTGAAAATGTACGTTTTACGAAGGGAATGGGCAAATGTTTGCATCTAGGGGCCCTCTTGGGACGCATGTTGGAGGCTTCTTGGGCGTCTTGGGGGCGTCCTTGGACGTCTGGGGTCTCCTGGGGCCTCTTGAGGGGCCTCCTGGGGGCCTCCTGGCGGCCTCTTGGGGCGGAAGGCTCGAGCTTGCGGTTCGTGGTCCCCCTCTGGGCCCCTCTTGGGCCCGTCTTGGGGCCCTCTTGGGCCATCTTGGGCGCCTCTTGGGCCGTCTTGGGGCCCTATTGGGCTGTCCTGGGGCCCTCTTGGAAGCTTCTTGGGCCGTCTTGGGGCGGTCCTGATTTGGCTCATGAGCTGGGGCGTCGCTATCTTTTTGGGCCTTCCTTTGACGTCGGAAAGGCCCAAAACGACAACTTTGTTGAAAATGTCCTGTTATGTTTACATACGCGGAATGGGCCAATTTTTGCGTCTAGGGGCCCTCTTGGGACGCATGTTGGAGGCTTCTTGGGGCCTCTTGGGGGCGTCCTTGGACGTCTGTGGTCTCCTGGGGCCTCTTGAGGGGCCTCCTGGGGGCCTCCTGGCGGCCTCTTGGGGCGGAAGGCTCGAGCTTGCGGTTCGTGGTCCCCCCTCTGGGCCCCCTCTTGGGCCCGTCTTGGGGCCCTCTTGGGCCATCTTGGGCGCCTCTTGGGCCGTCTTGGGGCCCTCTTGGGCTGTCCTGGGGCCCTCTGGGAAACTTCTTGGGCCGTCTTGGGGCGGTCTTGGGCGCCTCTTGGGCCGTCCTGTAACGTCGGAAAGCCCCAAAAGGCGACTTTGTTAAAAATGTACGTTTTACGAAGGGAATGGGCCAATTTTTGCGTCTAGGGGCCCTCTTGGGACGCATGTTGGAGGCTTCTTGGGGCCTCTTGGGGGCGTCCTTGGACGTCTGGGGTCTCCTGGGGCCTCTTGAGGGGCCTCCTGGGGGCCTCCTGGCGGCCTCTTGGGGCGGAAGGCTCGAGCTTGCGGTTCGTGGTCCCCCTCTGGCCCCCTCTTGGGCCCGTCTTGGGGCCCTCTTGGGCCATCTTGGGCGCCTCTTGGGCCGTCTTGGGGCCCTCTTGGGCTGTCCTGGGGCACTCTTGGGAGCTTCTTGGGCCGTCTTGGGGCGGTCTTGGGCGCCTCTTGGGCCGTCCTGTAATGTCGGAAAGCCCAAAAGGCAACTTTGTGAAAAATGTACGTTTTACAAAGGGAATGGGCCAATTTTTGCGTCTAGGGGCCCTCTTGGGACGCATGTTGGAGGCTTCTTGGGGCGTCTTGGGGGGCGTCCTTGGACGTCTGGAGGCCATCTTCAGCATCTCGGAGCCCTCTTGGAGGCCTCTGGGAAGTTTCTTGGGCCGTCTTGGGCGTTTCTGGGGCCGTCTTGTCTGACTGGGGAGGCCTCCGGCAAGCCCCGACGAGCCTCCGGGGCCCCCGGGGTGCACATTTGCGGTCGAGGTCCCGGCCCCGGGCCCCCGGACCCGGTGCGCCGTTATATGTATATGCCCGGAACCAACTGTAGGCCACTTCGTGGTCTTCGACTTCCCAAAACTCAACTCCCAGGCCACATTTCGAATGCCCGGAGGCTGAGGCACTGACGCTGAGGCTGACGCTGAGGCAGGCTGAGGCTGAGGCTGAGGCTGAGGCTGAGACAGGCTGAGGCAGGCTGAGGCTGAGGCCGAGGCTGAAGGCAGACTGAGGCTGAGGCAGACGCTGAGGCAGGCTGAGGCTGAGGCTGAGGCTGAGGCTGAGGCTGAGGCTGAGGCTGAGGCTGAGGCTGAGGCTGAAGGCAGGCTGAGGCTGAGGCTGAGGCAGGCTGAGGCTGAGGCTGAGGCAGGCTGATGCTGAGGCAGCCTGAGGCTGAGGCTGAGGCTGAGGCTGAGGCAGATGAGGCGGCTGAGGCAGACGCTGAGGCTGATGCAGGCTGAGGCTGAGGCAGGCTGAGGCTGAGGCTGAGGCTGAGGCTGAGGCTGAAGGCAGACTGAGGCTGAGGCTGAAGCAGGCTGAGGTTGAGGCTGAGGCTGAGGCAGGCTGAGGCTGAGAGTGAGGCAGGCTGATACTGAGGCAGGCTGAGGCTGAGGCTGTGATTGCGAATGCCGTTGCCACTGCGACTGTCATCGCGAATGCGACTGCGACTGTGAGAACAGCAGAATTCTACAACTGGATTATGATCTGAATATGAAGGAGAATGCTTCCAGATATGCTTCTACACATCGCTGTTAGGTTGCTTTGCCGGGATAATGTTTGGTTTGGTCTCTCTCACTCTCTCTTGTACACTCTCTCACTCTCTCTCTCACTCTCTCTCCCCCCCGTATGTGTTACCGAGAGTCTCTCTCTCTTTCTCTGTCTCTTTTTTTTTCTCTCTCTCTCTCGCCCTTATTGCATTATTTACTTATTTGGTTGTCTTTATGTCCCCCTCTCCCTCACAAACGCTTATCACTTTCTCTCCCTCATTCATGGTGCACACACGTCTGTTGAAACATACAAGCTATGTGTTCCTCCACGCCCCGCACTTTCTCACAGTCTCCCTCCCCTCCCCCTTTTACCCCTCCCCCTCTCTCTCTCTTTCGCTCTCTCTCTCTCTCTCTCTCGCTCTCTCTCCTTGCATGAGTTTTTATGTGGTTATTTCGTTGTGTCTCCCTCTCTCTCACACACGCTTAGCATCCCTCTCCCCCATTCATGATACACACACGTCTGTTGAATAACATACACACTATGTGTTCTTCCACGCCACGCTCTTTCTCACAATCTCTCTCCCCTCCCCCCTTTTACCGCCCCCTGTCTCTCTCTCTCTCTTCATCTGTCTCATCCCTCCAACCCCACAGCCACTCCGGGTGGGTCGCGTAGTAGTTGTTGAACTTCACCTCCTTTTCCTTGGGAAGGCGAACGTGTTAAAAGCGGGAAAGGGGCGGAGCAGGAGGCGGGGACAGAAGACGAGGACGGAGCAGAGGACGGGGATGAGCAGGAGGGAGGGGTGGAGGAGAAAAGGCTGCAGCATGAGGGATGTGAGGAGAGGGGGGAAGCAGAAAGGGGAGGGAGGAGGGAGAGAAGAATGGGCGAGGAGCAAGAGGAGGTGTGATACGCGGAGGTACCTGGGGGGCCCGCTGAGTCGAACCCGCTGAGCTCCTGACAGGCCCGCGGCGCTAGGCGGTGGCTGAGCGCGCCGCTCGTCGAGGTCCGACGCGCACTCAGGCAACGAACGCCCGCTGCCCACGGACGACGGTCGTGCAGGCGCCGTAAGTAGTGCGGAAGATCGAGCCGTCCCCACTTCAGAGGGGCTGGCCGCAACCACTCGCTCGAGAGGGAAGGCGGCGGCCTGCTGGGAAGTCGGGTGCAAGCACGGTCAAGAGAAGCCAAGAGGAGAGAGCACAGGAGGAGAAACAAAAAAACGGCGCGTATGGGGCGAAGGCGAGGAAGTGGAGGGTGATGAGATAAGAATGATAAGGAGATGCGAGAGATAGGCGTGAAGAGGGGGAGGAGAGTGAGAAAGAAGGAGGATAATGAGGGGCTGCGGGTATGCAGGAGAGGTAGGAAAAGGATGTGGGGAAAGGAAGGGGAGGAGCAAAGGAAGACGCGGAGGAGAAATCTGAGGGAATACAGTGATGTTGCTCCCCGTCCTTGTTCTTGTCTGTCATCTGCCTCTCCAACCACTTCAGGCGCCGCCGCCGGAACATTGGGTCGATGAACCGGTGCCTGATTGAAAGGGGCACTGTAAGATGCCGAGGGGGGTTCGATGGGGGGAAATGGAGGGAAGGAGCAGCAGGAAGAGAGGGACGACGAGTAAGGCGAGGGGAAGGTGGCGGATATAACGGCGTGAGGAGCACGAGGTGGAAGATGCGACTTGATATCACTGGAGACGACATGGTGATGATCATCATGGAGAGGACGACGAGGCTCCGCACCCCCTGGCCCATACCATTGCCCAAATCCTCACCCATTCCCCCCTGCGCCCGCTCCTGCCCCCTCGCCCTCGCCCTTGCCCTCGCCATCACCCCTCACCCCCCAGGCCGCGGCCCTGGCCCACCGCCCCTCGCGCCCTTGCGCCCTTGGGCCCCTGGACCCTGCACCCTCGCCGCCTTCGCCCTCGCCGCGTCCCCTTGCCACTCCTCTCCCCTCGGGGCCTCGTGCCCATGAACCTGCGAACGTTGGCTTCACCGGTGGCGAGCTCCTGGCGGCAGAGGAAGCCTCCTCCCTCCTCCTCCTCCTCCTTCCTCCTCCTCTTCCTCCTCCTCCTCCTCCTCTCCTCTCTCCTCTCTACTCTATGCTCTCTCCTCCTCCTCCTCCTCCTCCTCCTCCTTTAAGCTCCTGTCTCTTCCATCTCCGGCTCTCCTCCCTGCTTCTCCGCCTTCTCCCCCTGCCCTGTCCTTGCCCCTCCCCCCGATCCTCCCCGGGGGGAGGGGCAAGGAAAGGGTAGGGGGGGCGTCAAGATGGGGCAGGGGAAGAGGTGGGGCTAAAGGAACGTCGATCCAAGCGGCCCTTGGGCGAGGCACCGAAGGGACGAAGGATAGAGATATGAAGAGGGGAGGCAGACGCCTGTCCTGCCGAGCGCCCCTCGTCTGAACACAGAGGGGGTCGGGGGCTCATCAGGGAAGAAGTGAGACGCGTCCTCCTCCTCCTCCTCCTCCTCCTCCTCCTCCTCCTCCTCCTCCTCTTTCTCCTCCTCCTCATCCTCCTCCGCCCGTCGGGTTTCGACCAGCCTGTTCCCAACTGGGGGCGTGCGGGTGGTGGGGCTGAGCTATCACGGCGCGGTGGGGACGGGGATAGGTTAAACGATGCTGGCCTTGGACCGCACAAAACATCCGACGGGAACTCCTGCAGGCCTTCCGGCCAAAGCCCTACACACCGCCACGCTGGTCCCGGGCAGGCTGTGCTGCCCGGCGGAAGGGGACGAGGAGGAGAGAAGCAGGCAGACGACGACGAACGCGCATACGGGAGGCAGGGGCCAGCGGGGCGGCGGGCAAGCAAAAGATGGGCCAGTCGGAGACAGCAGGCAGGGAGCAGGAGGAAAGGAAAGGAAGGGAAACAAGGAAGAGGGGAAGAGGGGAAGCAACCGCGAACAGACATCCTCCTCCATACTCCCTCGCCTCTTCCTCCCCCTTTTCCTACCCGTCTTCCATCCCTGCCACTTCCTCCTCCTCCTCCTCCTCCACCAATTCCTCTTCGCTCGGGGAACACGACGGCGCCACCGCCGGCCACGGGGCTCCTTCTCGGCCACTTCTTTCGCCTGGCTCACCGCGCCCTCGGAGCCGCCCGGCACCAAGCGCTTCGGGTAGGCTGCAAGGCAGAAGCTGCGGCGACCGGCCGCCTGGGATACCACCGCCGCCGTCGCCTCCGTGGCCGCCTCCGCCGTCGCCACCGCCGTCGTCTGCCGGTCGCCGCCACCGTCGGCGCTGTCGCCGCCTCCGTCTGCCGCCATTCGCCGGCGCAGACACTCGCTGCCGTCGTCTGCCCGCCGCCGCCGCCGTCGGCGCTGTCGTCGCCGCCGCCTGCCGCCGTTCGACTGCGCGGCTGCTCGCCGACGTCGGCACGGCCGCTGGCCGTCGTCGTCGGCGCACTCAGGCGGGGCGCTGCCGCAGCCGCCGACGTCCCCGTTCGCTGGCGCGACGGCTCACCGCCGTCGCCGACGGCTCCCTTCCTCCCTCCCTCCCTCCCTCTCCTCCCTTCTCCCCATCCTCCTTCCTCTTCCTCACTCCTCACTCCTCCCAAACTCCTCCCAAACTCCTCCCAAACTCCTCCCAAACTCCTCCTCCTCCTCCTCCTCCTCCTCCTCCTCCTCCTCCTCCTCCTCCTCCTCTTTCTTCACTCACTCACTCACTCACTCACTCACTCGTTCACTCACTCACTCACTCACTCACTTACTCACTCACTCACTCACTCACTCACTCACTCACTCAGTTACTCACTGACTCACCCACCAACTCACTCAGGCATTCACTCACTCCATTTTTCACTCACTCACTCACGCACTCACTCGCTCACTGATTCACTCACGTACTCATTCGCTCCCTCTGCTTCTCAATACCTCACTGAGTCACTTCCTCCCTCCCTCCCTCATTCCCTTTCTCTCTCCATCCCTCCCTCCAAGCCTCCTTCCTCCTCCTCCACCTCCTCCTTCTCATCCTCCGCCTCCTCGTCCTCCTCCTCCCACTTCCTCCTCCTCCTCCTCCTCCTCAGCCTCAGCCTCAGCCTCAGCCTCAGCCTCAGCCTCAGCCTCAGCCTCAGCATGATCATCATCAGCATGATGATGATCATCATCATCATCATCATCATCATCAGCATCATCATCATCATCATCATCATCATCATCATCATCATCATCATCATCATCATCAGCATCATCATCATCATCATAAAAAGAAACATCATCAGCATCATCAGCATCATGATCATGATCATAAGCAGCAGCGTCAGCATCATATGGATCATCATCACCATTATCAGCATCAGCATCATCGGCAGGCTCACCAGCATCATCATAATCAGCATCATCATAATCGTCATCACCAGCAGCAGCATCAACACCATCAACATCATCAACGCATCACCTCGTCAACTCAGCATCTAACCATCATCAGTATCATCAGCATCACCATCATCATGAGCATCATCATCATCGCCAGCATAATCGTCACCAACATCATCAGCATCATCATCGTTGACAGTATCATCATCATCATCAGCATCATCATCAGCAGCAGCAGCATCATCATCATCAGCATCATCGTCAGCTTCAGCATCACCATCATCAGCAGCATCATCAGCAGCAATACCAGCATCCTCATCATCATTCTCATCATCATCAACATCATAATCTTCAGCATCACAGTCATCTTCACCATCAACATCCACCTCCTCCTCCTCTTCATTCTCCTCCTTCTCATCCCGCTCCTCCTCCCCCTCCTCCTCCGCCTCCTCCTCCTCTTCTTCCTCCTCTTCTTCCACCTGCTCCTCCTCGTCCCCCCTCCTCATCCTGCTGCTGCTCCTCCTCCTCCGCTTCCTCCTCCACCTCCTCTTCCTCCTCCTCCTGCTCCTCCTCCTGGTCCTCATCCTCATAGTCTTCCTCCTCATCCTCCTCCTCATCCTCCCTCTCCTCCTGCGCCTCATCTTTCCCCACCTCCTCCTCTGTCTTCCTCCTCGTCCTTCTCATCCTCCTCCTCCTCCTCCTCCTCCTCCTCCTGGCCTCCCCCTTCTCCTCTGACTGCTCCTCATCCTCCACTTCGTCGTCCTACTTCTCCTCCTCCTGCACCCCCCCCTCCGTTTCATCATCATCCTCCTGCTCCTCCTCCTCCTCCTCTTCCTCCTCCGCCTTCTCCTGTTCATCCTCCTCATCCTGTTGCTGCTGCTAATCCTCCTTCCTCCGCCTCCTTCGCCTCCTCTGCCTCCTTTTTCCTGATATTCCCTCTACTCAATGTATTCCTCCTATTCCTCATAGTCCTACCGCCCTACTCTTTCTTCATGTCCACCTCCCCCTCCTCCTCCTCCTCCTCCTCCTCCTCCTCCTTCTCCGCATCCCCTCCTCCTCCTTCCTGCTCCTCCTCTCATCTCCTGTCTCCTCCTCGGCTCCTCCTCGTCCTCCTCCTCCTCCTCCTCCGTCTCCTCCTCCTCTCCCCCTCCTCTTCTCTCATCATCTTCCTCCTTTCCCCTTCCTTTCCTCTCCTACCTCCTCCTCTCCTGCTCCTCCGCCTCCTCCTCCTTCTCCTCCTGCTGTTATGTCTCCGCCGCCTCATCCTCCTCCTCTTCCGTGTTCATCCTCCTGCTGCTGCTGCTACTTCTCTTCCTCCTGCTCCTCATCTGTCGTCTCGTTCCTCCTCATCCTCGTCCTCAGCCTCGTTCCTCCTCTAAGTCGTTCTCCGTATCATCCTCATCCTCCTCCCCCTCCTCCTCCTGCTCATCCTCATCCTCCTCATCCTTTTCCTCTTCCTCCTCCTTCTGACCCTCCTCCCCCCTCAACCCCGCGCCCGCGTCTGCGTCCACCTCTCCTCCTCCTCTCCTCCTCCTCCTCCTCTTCATACTCCCCCTCAACCTCCTCCTCCTCCTCCTCCTCCTCCCCCTCCTCCTCCTCCTATTATTATTTCTCCTCCTCCTCCTTCTCCTCTCATCCGTAGTATTCTTCTTCGTCTTCCTCATCCTCCTCCTCTTCCTCCTCCTCCGCCTCCTCCTCTCATCCTCCCTCAATCCCGCGCCCGCGACTGCGTCACCTCCTCCTTCTCCTCCTCCTCCTCCTCTTCCTACTCCTCCTCCTCACCCTCCGCCTCCTCCTCCTCCTATTACTCCTCTTCCTCCTCCTCCTCCGACTCCTCCTCCTCCTAGTATTCCTCTTCCTCCTCTCTCCTTCTCCTCCTCAGCCTTCCTCCTCTGCATTATTCCTCCTCCTCCTCCTCCTCCTCCTCATCCTCCCTCAACACGGACCGCGTCTGCGTCACCTCCTCCTCCTCCTCCTCCTCCTCTCCTCCTCTTCCTACTCCTCCTCCTCAATTCCGCCTCCTCCTCCTCCTCATCCTTCTCCTATTACTCCTCTTCCTACTCCTCCTCCACCTCCTCCTCCTCCTCCTCTTCCTCCTCCTGCTCCTGTTTCCTCCTCCTCCTCTTCCTCCTCCTCAACCTCGCTCCTCCTCCTCCCTCACTGCCGAGTCCGCGTCCGCGTCCGCTGCCTCCTCCTCCTCCGAGCCGCTCTGGCACAGGCTGTTCCTGTGCGTGCTACGACGCTTCTTCAGAGCGGCAGCAGGCATGGCGGGCCGTTGTGGCCTGTGCTTTCAACTCTCAGTTCGATGAGTGGGATCTCGACCCACAAGCGCGCTCCCGCGTGAGCAATCAGATGGGTGACGCTGCCAAGGGCCCAAAACTACACATGTGGGGCTGTCAGGCCTGCGGCAAGACCATCAATTGGGCGTGCCAGTGTCGCTGCATGCGTGGACAGAGCGCGCCCGCCACCGTCATCTAGATGGCGAAGAGCTTCGCCAGGCAAAGGGCTGATGATGGGGGTCCTGGTGGTGCTGGCGGGGCTGTCCAGCCTATGAGAAAACGGAAGAAAGACAGGCTCAAGCAACAGCTGGGCGAACTCAAGCAGCAGCTCGGGCGGTTCATTACGAAGTCATCGACCACAGGGCGGGATCAAGCGCCGAGTCGTAGGCCGTCAGGAAATGGCTGGTCGGCCGTGGGTGCAGTCGCCAGTGGTGCTAGCCCCCCCAGGTTCTGCGGGCACCACGGCTGCGGCCGCGTCAGAGACTAGGCGGCGCAGGCTGCAGATTTCGAGCAGGCGATCAAGGGTTGCAACGGTGACAACATGGCCAGTGCTTGCAGCCAGATGGAATCGCAACTGCGTGACGTTCGACCAGAGCTGGAGGCGCAGAGGAGTGGCCTCACCCACCATGCGAACCTCGGGCACCGCTCGGGCAGGAACCAGCTCCCGCTCAAGAAGTTGCCGGAGGAAGCCGAAGAGGAGGCGAAGCTCATCGCGAGGGCAACCACCAAGCGAAACGAGCTAAAGGCAAAGGCGCTTACCGTCCAGCAGGAGGTGGGGGACTTGCGCGCCCAGACCAAGAAGTCTCCGCTGGTGGCAGACGGCGGGCCTGCTGATAGCGGGGATGGCCTTCGGCTGCCTGCCAAGGTGCTGGGGGGCAAGGGTGCGATCAAGGCAGCGCTCGAGACGGGGAGGCTCAAGGAGTTCGCGAAGTTGTCCCAGCAGCATCGAGCACCGCCACGGCAGGACGCCGAGGAGGAGGACGCCGCGAAGATGCCTGTTGGTGAGGATGGTGACTCCTGTTGGTGAGGATGGTGACTTCGTGACGTGGACACGGGGGAGTCGTTTCCAGATGAGGCTCAAGCAGAGGTTTCCTGGCAGCAGCACTGTGGAGACAAGCGCGCGACCCTGGAGACCCTGGTGCAGGGGCGCTTCAAGTGGGCGGCGCATCGACGCCTTCCTGGCGATCTTCAACCGCTGGAGCTCGGCATGACCACGATTTTTTGGGGGAGTACGCAAAACTACTGCGCCAGCTGGCGATGTCTCTCGGCGAGGACGGCATCCGCGCCTGCTGCGAGGGAGATTCATTCCATTTCGTAACGGCTACAAGCGGCTGCTGATTTGCGTGTACTGTGCACTCGGGCTGCTGTCAACGCTCGCATCACCCCAGCAGCTCTGCAAGCGCGAGCGTGCGAATCATTGAAGCATCCATGTGTGACTTGGCAATCATGTCCAAACGAGCTTTCTGATATCCGTGGTCGTACGCTCGTAAGAATGCGATGACAGACGACGCCGCTTCCAACTCGGCAGCTGCAATTGTAGCCCCATCTGGCAAAGCCTCAGAC